AAAAGTTCAGACGTCTGGGAAGCGTATCTGTCAAGTACCTTTGCTTGTTGGTGCTTCCTGCGCGAACATGTCCGGTGTATTCCCCCAGTATTCTTCTTTCCTTGGAGGCCCGTATCGGCTCCTTCCCTGCATACACGACGGTGTAGCAGCTCTCCCCCGGAGGCGTTGCAAAGCGCACTGGGTGCGTGGGGTCGGTGACCCTGCAGACCACTAGGTCAGGGTCCACAAATCCATGCACTACCGACATGATGCTATTCCACATCTCCCGCATTGAAGATCGAGACACCTGAAAGCAGGAAACACCGCACTGCAACAATCACAGCAGGAATCAATACCATATGCACTGCCAAGACAAGTGCACGCACGAGCAGAAACAAATGAGCAAGATACACCGCCACAGCAAGACCCATCGAAAGCCTGCGTGGCTTCTGAATGGACACTCCAACTAAAGACACATGACGAGTCTACAGAGAGCGGCAATCGTCTAGCACTGTATGCAGACAGACAGGCAGCTCGGTACGTGAATACGTTCAGGGGCCAAATCCCAAGAATTGTGCATCGGAGCCGCACCTGGAGGCCCCCACGTTTAAAATCAGGGCAGACAATAACACTGTGCCACTTGCTGTGCACCCAACCTTCTCTGTTGTTTCCCCATCCTTCGCACTGCCGCTGAAAAGCCTCCAGCAACCGTGCATGTTCCGACTCCGCCCGTTCGTCCCGCACCTGAACACACTCCATAAACAAGTCCTTACAATTCAGTAAACCACAAGAGGGAATCGCCACCCTCAGGACGTCCAATGCACCGACAGCTAAGGGAAAGGGATAGAATGGAGATGGAGTTGAGCAGCAGTGTGTACGGCTGCGAACCTGCGTAGCTGCCCAACCGATGCCCCTTTCCTCCAGGACCTCCTTAAGTGTACACGGTTCTAGGCCCCTCGCCTTCAAACTTGAGAGGAGCTCAGGCGAAANTCCAGGACCTCCTTAAGTGTACACGGTTCTAGGCCCCTCGCCTTCAAACTTGAGAGGAGCTCAGGCGAAAGCTGGGGAAGAGAGTCTTTCACCAGCTGAGCAGCACTGAGGACGGCCTCTGGCGATATGAATTTGCTGCAGGCAGCATTGCCAGAGGCTCCGTTGCCCATGCCTTGGGCTGACTTGTGCTTGCTGCGGCCCTTGAAGACCGGGCCCCTAACCCCGCTCCCCCCTCCCCTGCGCCTGCCGCAGCCCGCTGCGTATTGTCGTGCATGTACGCCATTATGGGGCTTTGTGGATGTGGCGCCAAGAGGAGCGGCTGCCGCGTTGGCCTGGGCCTGGTCATTCTCTTGACTCGCAGTGGGGCTGCTGGAGGCAGCTGCAGACGGGGAGGCAGCTGTGTGGCCTCCCTCTTCTTTCATTGGAGGCTGTCGTGTCGAAGCTGAAGCAGACACGTGAACTGCCCCTTATCTGCAGTAACTTATGCAACGCTGACGCACCCAACGCAGGCACGCCTTGAGGAAGCCAAGGTAAACCAGATACTGAAGACCGAGGGGCANCGCTGACGCACCCAACGCAGGCACGCCTTGAGGAAGCCAAGGTAAACCAGATACTGAAGACCGAGGGGCAGCAGACACCCCCAAAAGGCTTCACCCCGCGCCAACAAAAAAACTGTCTGATGCAACAAGAGAGGCCAGCCCTCGACCCGGAGAAAAGGGAGAAAAGGGACAAGGGCTCCGCTCCTCACCTAAACAGCTGCCGCGCAAAACCTGACTTTCAACTGCGGCCCAACACGCAGTTGACTGCGGTAGATGAGGTGCCTAGGGGAGGAAGGCAACGAGACAGTTGCCCCTAATTGAGATATGGGAAGGGGGAGGCCGCTGTTGATGCTGTTGCTGTTGCTGCTGCCGGTGCTGTGATGCTGAGATGCTGGCGTAGAGACAAGGGGTGGGTTGGGTGGTGGCCTGAGCACGGCAAGGCCGCAGGCAGCAGCCACAAGGGCCCTCTATGGGTCCACCAGCGAGCCTCTAAGGGAAGCTGCAAAGGCTCCCAAAAGAGAGGGGCCTGATGCAGACCCAGCAGAGAGTTGAGGGGAAGAGTGGGTGTGCAGCCCCCCCAGATGAAGCAGCACAGTTTGCTTGCGGCCCATACACTCCAGCGAAAAACACAGAGAAGTCAAGTATACAGGCCTCAATAGCTACAAAGGAGCGGGAATGAAGGGGTCTCAGCGGCCACAGGGGCTGGGGAGGACAAGGAACATGCTGCAGCAACCCACACCTTGGGATATATATTTTTGTCCTCTATTCAAAATAAAAAACGTTGCAGTTTTTGTTCACACTGCATCAATCCCGGAG